CCAGCCACCCCACTGCGCGTCGGCGCCTCCTCCTCCTCCTCCTCCTCCTCCTCCTCCTCCTCTTCCTCCTCCTCCTCCTCCTCCTCTTTTGTCTTCGGCAGGCCACTCGGCACGCACGCCCGAAGCGTCAGCCGGGCCTGCGTCTGCAGGCGGTCGGAAGGCAGTGCCTCACCGTCCGTTCGGACGGTTGAGGCCGCAGGGCAGGCGCCACGAAGACCGTGGCCAAAACAGTGAAGTCGGGCACAGTGCTCAAGGATGGAGGAAGAGGACAAGGATGGACGACCAATGTGACGATGACGTAGAGGACAAGGATGGACGACCTGCCGTCGCCAAGAGGGCGTGGCTAGGCAGGGCAGGCTGCCTAGTATCCCTGGGGAGGGGGCGGCTGGGAGGTACTAGCGGGGTATGTCACCCACCTACACCCTCTTGCGCCCCCAGCCACCCCGCACCCCAGGACAGCACGCCGCGCCCCCCCATCCACGGGGACCGTAACCGAAGCAGTAAAGTCGAGCAAGTCCCCGAACTCGACCTTGCCTCTGGAACACACCGTGGAATGCTCAGGGAACAGACGCGGTCCATGGGGCCACGGAAAGCGAACCTCTGAGGCAAGTGGTCGAGCTCGGAACAGCGCACGAGAGATAGGGCAGCGCTGCCGTAATATCCTCGTGCCCCCGATGATCTGTCGCTGCGTTGCCAGCCTCCTGTTGGTACCATTCTGGCAGTCAGGCCGAAACGCTCGGCCGCGTGCTCGATCGAGCATGGGCCCACGGTCCCACGCTTTCCTTCCCCACTACCTGCTCCAACTGTGAAGCTCCTCCACCTCGACTTCGCAGCCCCGTGCACGAAGCGCGCGCGACGCCCGCGCCAGGCTGTTCGGGCCAAGGGCAGCGAATACCGTCTGAAGAGCTCGGATGGGATGGACCTCTAGACTTCAGCAGAACCTGAGCACGGCAACGCAAGCTGCGGCTCCGCCGCTGCTGTCGGCGAACTCGCAACTCCGTGCACGAAACGCGAACGACGCTCACACCAGCCCTTCGGGCCACGGGCCGCGAATACAGCCTGGAGAGCTCGGGCGGCGCGAACCTCCAGACTTCAACAGAACCCGAGCGCGGCAGCACTATGCTGCGGCTCCGCCGCTGCTGTCGGCGAACGCTGGCTCAAAACGGCGTGCATCCCCGCCTGGTCCCCAGATCTCCTCCCGCCACCTCACCTCCTCCTCCTCCACCTGCTCCTTTTCCTCCCTGCACCAGGAGGCGCGAAGAAAGGCGGCCGTCACCCTGCCGTGGAGGCTCAGAACTCCACCACGTTCATTCACGCCTGGAAATCGCCCTTGGACTTCTCGTACGACTCGGTCGCCCAGCCCCAGTTCCTCTCCCTGCCCGCCACACCGAGGCCGGCCAGGTCCTGGAAGAAGAAGAAGTCGGCCTCCTTCATGCCCGCCGCGTCGTTATTGCGGTAGAACGGCGTGCCCTTGGTGGTCACGCACTCCATGCTTTCGCAGAGACTGTAGAGCTTGATGGTCAGCAGGCTCTGCAGATTCTCGGACTGCTTTTTCTCAATGAGCGATGGGGCTTGTCGAGCCTCGACACGTACTCGATCATCCTGGCCTTGCTCCTCTCGTAGAGCTTCTCCTGCAGGGCCTTGTTGTTTGTGTACTCAGAACCCTGAGGGCAGGCAGCGCCGCCAGGCAGCAGCCCGCCGCGGGCAGCCGCCGCCAGAGACCGCCGTCGCGGCAGGGGATGTGGCGGGGTCCTCACCCCGCGCGGGCTCTATAGCGGGCCTCGCTGCCGCCGCCCGCGCGTGGGCCAGCGCGCGTGGCCGTCCCACCCCGAGCGGGCAGACGGCTCCTCCTCCTCCTCCTCCTCCTCCTCCTCCTCCTCCTCCTCCTCCTCTTCCCCTTCCTGGCCCCCTCCCCCCCCGCGAAGAGGGGGAAGGACCAGGAGCAGGAGCAGGAGCAGGGGCGATGACAGCATGCTCAGGAAGCAGAGTGTCCAGGCCGGCTGAGGTGGCTTTATCCCTTCTTCGTCCTCTTCCTCTTTGCCCTTTTTTTCTCTCCCCTCCCCTTTACTTCAGGACAGGCAGCGGACACCCACATGCCTTCAGAGTCGAGTCCAGCAGGAGCAGGACAGGATGGATGCTGAGGAGGGGGGGGACGAGGAGGATGCGGTGGTAGGAGGAAGAGAGGGAGGATGAGGACACACAAAGAGGTGGGGGCGGGGCAGGGCGCAGCCGATGAGAGAACTCTGTGAGGGCGAGGAGGATAAGGACGAGGAGGGGGCCAGGTTGGCAAGCCTTCGAGGACGAGGAGGCGAAGGACGGGGAGGGGGGCGAGGAGAACTGCCGGAACGGCGAGGGGGAAGAGGAGGACGAGGAGGACGAGAGGGAGCCGGTAACCGGGAGAGGGGCGAGGGCTGTGCCCCGCCAGGCGCGGGGGCGCAGGGGCGCCTTGGAGCACTGGATGCCCGTGCCGAGGGGGGAGAGGATGAACTTGTACTTGGACCTCGGATGTCTGGAGGCCTCCCAGATGGGGTCGGAGCAAATGTCCGACAAAGGCATCTGTACACCACCACCGTGCCAGGCCAGGGCCATCCTGGGCCCCAGGATGGTGTATAGACCCTCCTGGCCTCGGCCAGGAGGGCGTATACACCATGCCAGGGCCAGGATGGCTGGCCTGGCACGGTGGTGGTGTATAGATGCCTTCTGCGTAAAATGGGGTCGGAGGATCGCGTCGCGACGGCGATACATCGGCGATGCACTGGCGGCGTCGGCGATGCATCGGCGGCGTCGGCGTAGAGAACATCGAGCTCCGCATCGAGCCGCATCGCCGATGCATCGGCGATGTGGCGCGATCCTCTGGCCCCATCTGCTCGGACCCCGTCTAGGAGGCCTAACATGTCATCTCTCTCTCTCTCTGTCGGGCGGCAGGACCGGAAGTCCCCAGAGGCGCGTGCTGGCGCCAACGCGCGCCTGCCCCACGCTTGCCCGTCCACACGACGCCAACGGCGCAAGGAAGGCGGGCACGGGCTGAATGCCACTGGTGGACCTGACCGGGTGATAGGTCCTGAGGCAGCCTGCCGAGGCGTTTGGGGGTGTTCCTCCGCTTCTGGGCCCGCGGAGGCTGCCCAACAGCGCAACCTCCATTCCAGATCAGAAAACTGCCGCTTTCCCCAAACAGTGCTTGCACTGAGGGTTTTTTATTTGGCTTAACCATTTCGGGGTGATTGGCGACTTTTGCGGGCGGCGCCGCCCATCGCCGCCGTCGCCGACGCCGTCGCCGCCGCTCGGGGCGAGTGGCGGTTTTTGCGGGCGGTGCCGCCCGTCGCCGCCGTCGCTGCCGTCGCTGCCGTCGCCGCCGCTCGGGGCGAGTGGCGGCTTTTGCGGGCTGTGCCGCCCGTCACCGCCGTCGCCGTCGCATCGATTCTCTTTTCTGATCAAGAATCAAGATCCCCCCGGCTTTATCGGCACACCTTTTGTGTTGCATGTTACATACGATTCTGCCCCATCGTCCATCCTAAATATGACTTCGTACCATCCCACCCCAACTGGGTTCAACCCCCCGCCATCCTCTGCAAAATACCACCATGCGCGCCAACTCTACTATTTAAGCGTCTAAGAAACCTTTTTGCAATCAAAAGAACAAAGTGCACACGCGCGCGCGTTGTCGCGCGCGTGTGCCGAAATCATTCAAATATTTTCGGTTTCGGAAAGATGTCAAAATCGATTGCCCAGCACACATATAACAACACATGGTTTCGCAACGCGGGTTTTCACACACAAAACGTGCGGGCGCGCCCTAGCGAATTCTTAAGGAAACATTTGGTTTTCCAGCATTTCCAGAGCATACTACCAAACGGGCTTCGCGCGCGCATGGCGAAATCGTTCGAACGCCTTTGCGCTTGCGCCGTCGCGAAAATCTTTCGCAATTCAACTGGAGGAAATCCACACGCGCGCGCGTCGTCCTGTGCGCATGCATACATCTTTCACAAACCTTCGGTTTCGCAGCGATTTCAAGATCGAATGTCCAAACACGCAATCAAAACACAAGGTTTCGCAACATCAGTCTACGAAAAAGCGTGCGCCCGCGCTCTTGTGAATCCTTTAGAAAACAAGTGTTTTTTTTCTCGATATGTCCATGGAATTCTGCCAAACGGCGCTCTGGCGCCGCATGCCGAAATCATTCGCGCGCCCTTGCGCGCGTGCTGGGGGGGGGGGCGCGATCCGTGTCAAAGAGTACCATGCGAGTTACTCTTGCGCGTCGGCCGCGCACGCATGTCGAATTCCTTCCAGAACCTTCATCACCGACGCGAGGGAGCCGTCATCGTCGCCGGCGTGATCAGCATCGGCGCCCGCACTGGCCGCGCCGTCGCCGTCGTCAACATCGCCGCCAACGTCGCCACTATCATCATCGTGACTACCGCGGTCGACATTGGCATGATACCGCGCCCGCCCAAGTCGCCGACTCGCGCGGAAGAGTTCGCCGGGATGCGCCCAGCGGTCAGCGCCAACGCGGCCGCAGGGATGCACCAGCCAACGCCAAGCGTGCATCGTGATCGCCACCGCATGGGTTTTGCAAACCAAGTTGCGGGGTGGGTGGGTGGGATGATTGCAAGAGCACGGGATGTGTCAACTCGTTTGTTAGAACCACTTGCGCCGCATAGAGTGCATTACATCGATTCTCATTTCAAACAAAAAAACACTAAGTTCCCCCCCCCCCCCCCAAGACTTGAAGACCCCCCCGGAACCGATGCAGAACGCATCGGGTTCTGACCCAATGTCTGTCCTACCTTTAAACTCATGGCATCCCAGCCAGGCCAGCATCGACCCCCCCCCGCCATCCTCTGCCACAAATACTATGCGCGTGCACTCGTTTATCAAAATCAGATGTTTCTAAAAAACCCTCGCGCGAACAAATTAAGACGAAATGCGCGCGCGTCGTCGCGAGCGCGCCGAAATCGAGCGCCCCAAAAAACCATATAAACACGCGTGGTTTCGCAACGCGGTTTTTTTAAGCATGCGCGTACTCTTGCGAATTCTTGAGATAACCATTATATTAAGAAGACTTTCGGAACGCGCAACCAAAATTGCATCGCGCGCGCGTCGAAATCTTTCGCGCGTCCCTGCGCGCATGCCTTCGCGAGAACCCTCTGCGCAGAAAAAACAACAAAATAAAGTGCACGCGCGCAAGTCGTCGCGAGCGCGTGCCGAACTCCGTCAAAAACCTTTGGCGTCGGAAATATTTCAAAATCGAGTGCCCCCCAAACATATGAACATGCAAGGTTTCGCAACGCAGAATTTCAACAAAAGCGTGCGCGCGCGCTCTTGCGACTTCTTGCGAAAACCGTAAGTTCTTCAACGCGCCATAAAAATGCGACCAGGCAGGCTTCGCGCGCGCGCGCGTGCTGAAATCGTCCGAACGCCTTTGCGGGCGTGCTAGCGTGGCACGGTCCGCGTCAAATCGTACCACGCGAGCCACTCTCGCGCGTCTGCCGCGCGCATTTCGAATTCCTTTCCAAACCTTCATCGCCGACGCGAAGGCGCCGTCATCGTCGTCGGCGTGATCGGCATCAGCGCCTCCACTGTCCGGTCTCGTCGTCGCTGTCAGCATCGTCGCCAACATCGCTAGCATCATCATCGTCGCGTCTACAAGTGTCGACGTTGCCGTGGCGCCGCGCCCGCCCGAGGTGCCGACTCGCGCTCAAGTGCCCGCCTGGGCGTGCCGAGCGGCCAGCGCCGCCGCTGCCGCGGCCGGGCCGCGCGCGCGCGTGCGCGGGCTGGCGCGGCCGCGGAGATGCACCAGCCAGCGCCATGCACTCAGCGCAACCGCCGCCGCATGAGGTTTGCAAACCAAATTGTGGGCGGGTGGGTGGGATGTTTGCGAGAGCAGTGGGGTGGGCAACTCACTGCGACCAGAATAAGTTGCACCTCGTAGATTGCACCACGTCGATTGCACCGCATAGACTGCATTGCACAGGTTGCACCGCGCAGACTGCACCGCGCAGGTTGCACCACGTAGTTTGCGCCGCATAGATTGCATTGCATGGGTTGCACTGCGCAGGTTCTCCCCCTACCCCCCCCCCCCCCGGCTTTATCGGTGCGTCATTCTGTGTCGCAATGTGCATAGGATTCTGTCCCATCGTCCATCTTGAACATGAGTTCGTACGACGCAAGCCGAGGTGGATTCGACCCCCCTCGTCAACCCCTGCAAAAAACGCTATGCGCGCATTCTTTGATCAACAGTTATCAGTTTCCAGGAATCCCTTGCAGGAAATGAGACGAAGTGCACGCGCGCGCGTCGTCGCGCGCACGTGCCGAAATCTTCTGTTCCCGAAAGATGTCACGATCGAGCGCCCACAAAAAAATATTTCGCAAAGCTGGTTTTCAGACAAAAAAGCGCGCTCTCTTGCATTCCGGGAAACAAAACACCGGCTTATTTATCGCGTTTTTCAGAAAATGCGATCAAACGGGCTTCGCGCGCGCATGTCGAAATCGTAAGAACGCCCTTGCGCGCGTGGCGTCGCGAGAAACCTTTGCAACAAATGGGGAGACATGCTTGCGCGCGCGTCGTCGCGCGCGCGTGCCGGAATCCTTCAGAAACCTTCGGCCCCGTAGCGACTTCAAAACCGAATGCCCCAAACAAGTTCACAAACGTTGCATCGCAACGTCAATTTCCAAGGAAAGCTGGCCCGCGCGCTCTTGTGCATCCTTCAGAAAATCACGGCTGTTCAATCGTGTCCATGGCATTCTGCCAAACGGGCCTCTGGCGCCGCATGCCGACGTCATTCGCGCGCCCGCGCGCGCGTGCTGGGGGGGGCGGGGCGCGATCCACGTCGAATAAAATCGCGAGGGCCACTCTCGCGCGTCGGCCGCGCGCGGGCGTCGAACTCCTTCCAAAACCTCCATCGCCGACGCGAGGGCGCCGTCGTCGTCGCCGGCGTGATCGGCATCGGCGCCCGCGCTTGCCGCGCCCTTGTCGGTTCGAACATCGCCGCCAGCGTCGCGTCTACCGTCGTCGGCGTTGCCGTGATACCGCGCCCGCCCAAGTCGCCGACCCGCACTGAAGCGCCCGCTGGGAGGCGCCCAGCGGCCAGCGCCGCCGCGGCCGGGCCGCGCCAGACTAGCTGGCCACCGCGCGCGCGTGCCAGGGCTGGCGCGGCCGCAGTTGCACCGGCCAGCGCCAAGAATGCATCGCAATCGCCGCCGCATGGGTTTTGCGAACCACATTGCGGGTGGGTGGGATGTTTGCATGAGCGTGGGATGCGTCAACTCGATATCATAAGCATTTGCGCCAAATAGATTGCACCGCGCACATTGCATGACGTTGGTTGCATCGCGACAGTTGCACCACATAGATTGCACCGCGTAGTTTGCATTGCATATGTTGCGCCGCGTAGATTCTCGTTTCCTAGAAGAATAGACTCTACCCCCCTGGGATTGTCGACCTCCCGTTTCGTATTGCGATTTACACATGACTCTGCCCCGTCGCCCATCCTAGCCCCAGCC